ATCCTCAATTCAGTTCCATTGCAGAAAATGTTTGCAGGTTAGGAGAACGATAAGTATTCATCCAAATAGTAAAAGCAGTCCCAATAAAGCTAGCGCATGTTGTGCCTTTCTATTTTGTCTCTTGCTACTTGTCCTGCAATTTCACAGTTTTAAATCGCATGCCAAGTCACACCCTATTGCTGGCACTGAACTGTTCAGATCGGTAGTCTGGGTCGCACTGATTTTTGAAAGCAGTTCCTGCACTACTTTTTACAATTTCAGGTGCGACTTGCATAGACATCTGTACATGACGTCGCACAGATGTCTTTCAAGTCTCACCTGAAGTTGCACTGACATGCGACTTTGAAATCGATTTCAAAGTTGGGTCTAGGAGGAACCTGGGCTAAGGGCAGCAGTCAGATGCTCCATATGTTGGATGTAATTCACCCTGGTGAACTGTTGAGAGATGGTAGGTGGAGGTTGTTGCTTCTACATACTGGGGATGCAGGTCTTGCCGGCATTCAGTAAATACTTTAGTAGTGACTTACGGTATCTGTTACGGGACATTGGGGTTAAGTTAAGAAGCACTGCAGCGGCGTTGTCTAAACGAGATGTCTGTTAGTTTGTGCACAGTGTGCAAGACTTTTTTGGCAAAAGGCTGAATATTGGGACTGTCCCAAAAGATATGAAGTATTGTACTGACCTGGGCTCTGCTACCCCAACACAAGGGGCTGTGTCCAGGAAACATGGACACTAGAAAAAGAGGGGGTAAGGTACCATTGTCTCTGGATTTTATATGTAATTTCTTGGTATTTGCTAAACAAGGAAGATTTGTAAGCAAAGAAGAGTATAGAGTTCTTTTGATTGTCAGTAGAGAGGATATCTTTCTAATGTGACGGAAATCCTCTTCAGTTGTCACAGAAACATGTGTCCCCACTGAAATAAATCCCTGCTAATCCTGTGCTGGTTTTATGTAAAAAAAATTAAGTAAATCTCCCAGGGAGACCATCAGGCGTGCTACAAGAAACATTTTGATAGGAGGAGAGAGCAGACAGATGAGCTCATCAGAATACAGCTTCTCTTGCATTGTCCATTTTCAGGGTGCACAGGAGACCTGTGAGTGAAAGTGAAACTGCAAGGTGAAAGATCAGGTTCACTTTCCTGCCAGACAGGGCTTTGCGGTGGGGTAGAGCTGTGTAAATCTCAGGGTTGGATGGACAGAAATACAAACCCATTCGTAGTCCTCTAGTACAATGAAAAGTGAAATATACAGTATGTAAGTATTTCTAAAAATGCTCTCATCACTGCTTTAATATCGCTAGTAATTTCTGCATCGGTCACATAGCTTTGGAACTTTAAATTTTGTATGACCAGCCATTACATTACATTACATTACATCGAGTTTATATAGCGCCAAAGGGTTTGCTCAGCGCTGTACAATAGAGGGGGGACAATACATGAAACATTACAGCAACTACAAACAGCACACGAGGGGTTATAGGGCCCTACTCTTTCGAGCTTACAATCTAGGAGGGAGGGGGTAGTGGTACAGGAATTGGCTGTGGGGGATGGAGTGGTAGTAGGAATGAAGGAGAGCAGCAGTTAGGTGAGGGTGGGGTAGGCTTCCCTGAAGAGGTGGGTTTTCAGGGAGCGCCTGAAGGTGAGGAGGGAAGGTGACAGTCTGATGGATTGGGGTAGTGAGTTCCAGAGGATGGGGGAGGACCTGGAGAAGTCTTGCAGACGTGCGTGTGAGGAGGAGACCAGGGAGCAAGATAGAAGGAGGTCCTGTGAAGAGTGAAGGGTACGGGTAGGGTGGTACTTGGGAATCAGGTTGGTTAGGTAGTTAGGGGCAGTGTTGTGAACGGCTTTGTAGGTCAGAGTGAGTAGTTTGAATTTGATGCGTTGGGCGATAGGAGCCGGGTAGGCCGGTGAGGAGGGAGTTGCAGTAGTCAAGGCGTGAGATAATCAGGGAGTGTACGAGTAGTTTAGTGGTGTCTGGGGTAAGGAAGGTGCGTATTTTGGCGATATTGCGGAGGTGGAGCCTGCATGTGTTTGTAAGTGATTTGACATGAGGTTGAGGTTAGAGTCCAGAATGACTCCAAGGACTTTGGCTTGCAGGGCGTGATTGATGGTGGTGATGTTAGTAGTGATGGATAGGATGGGGGGGGGCGCGGGCAGGGGGGAAGACGAGAAGCTCGGTTTTGGAGAGAGGTTGCTTGAGGAAATGGAGCGACATCCAGTCAGAGATGTCGTTTAGGAGGTGAATGATGCAGGTGGAGAAAGTGGGGGTGAGGTGGGGGGTGAGAGAGGTAAATTTGAGTGTCATCAGCGTAGAGGTGGTAGTTGAAGCCGTGGGAGTGTATGAGTTTGCCAAGGGAGGAGGTGTAGATGGAGAAGAGAAGGGGTCCGGATAGAGCCCTGGGGGACCCCAACAGAGAGGGGGAGGGAAGGGGAGGTGGCACCATTGTAGGAAACGCTGAAGGAGCGTCGGGATAGGTAAGAGGAGAACCTTATGCTTTGTTCTGTTTCCTTGTGCATGAAATAGTGTGATTTGTAATAATCATCAATATAGAAAGGTGTCCTTATGTGTAAGATGATCCTTGCCTAATCTAGTTGGATCAGAAAATATCATGTCTTTGGGCATTTTGAAACATGACTATCCTCTGTCTAAATGTTCTCCTTGGAAGAATAAATTGGGTGAGTTGGCTTCTCCTTACAGGTTGCTAATATTTTCCCCTGAGATAAGCAGATGCTCACTGTCACTAGCACTGCTCCCCTTCCTCTGCACACTGAGGGAACCCAGATTTGGCTTCATGCACATGGGGTGTCTGTTTAAGCCCCTCTGAACACCAGAATTCCCAGCAGGAAAAAGCTTGTTTAAAAAATGCGTACAAGCACACAGGCGTTTAGGTGTGTCTAGCATTTGAGTATTAATGCATTCTGTTGGCCAGAATATGAATTTATTCTGACCACTGGAATGCATTAACACACAAACCCTAGACATGTCTAGTTTATATGTGCAATTTCAGCACGCTCTACGTTTTTCCTGCTTCTCAGCTCCTCCCCTGAATGCATCTTTGGTGTGTTTTTTTCTGCCTGTAAACGCTCCTCTTTAATATGCCTGTAAACACCTATGTGTGCATGGACACATAGAATTACATAAAGGGGCTTTTACAAGCTGAAATGTAAAAAAAAAACGCTCAATGCCAGTAACAGCGGTGTTTAAGCTGTGTGTGCCCAAGCCCTTCGAGTTTTCTTGTAAAAGTGATGGTTGGATAATACCACCATTGTCTAATACCATCTTAACACTAGAGCAGAATGAGTGGCAGTAATTGTCCTCTAGGGAAGATGTGCTCCTCTGAGGTTACAATTTAAAGAGTAGTATAGAAAAGAAAATGTAAAAGTCGAATGGATGCCCATAGTAATCAATCAGGGAAAATGATACAGTGTTTTTTTTGGCATGGTCCTCTATATTTCCAGACCTTCAGAATGTTCAATGGTGAAGCCCCTTTCCTATCTGTTTATAATCTTCCTTTTCCACATATTTAGCTGAGCGGCAGTTATAACACAATAGATACAGTACATCTGGTTTATACACTTCAGTTCAGTCTAAGTGAATTTCAACATAGAAAATATGTTTTAATCTCAGCAGGCATCACTTAATCTAAGGTGAAAAATCCATTTAGCAAGATGACATGTTACAATGTGTGCCTTATTATCTGAAATATGTCAAGTCTGAGCACTGTGCTAACAGAGCTCAGTCAAGCAGGAGCAGCGGATCATCGGGAATGGCCGCAGTGGATGTAGCTGTAAACAATTCAGTAGAGCTGTGTTTCAATCACCTATACAGTTCCCTGTAATATTATACTATAATGGCACTGGGAATGCAGGAGCATACCTATAAAGTGGTGAATGATTGGTGGGGTGATCACTAAGGCCCAGCTATCCCATAGGACCTTTTGCTGCAGTCATAATATACATTTGCAGAACAAGTTTACTATGATGTTTAGGCTCAGTTCACACTGCTGCAACTTGGGATCTGAATTGTGAGCCACCAAGTCGCATTACATGTAAAATCCCATGTTAGTCAATGAGAGCTGTCTTAAGTAACACTACTGAAGTCGCTCCAACTTTAAAAAAGGTTCCTGTACTACTTCAAGGTGACTTTGACTTGTGCCCATAGAATTTAACGGAAGTCACCTCCAAGTCGGATCCTCGTTTACATTGATGTGATTTGCATGTGACATTACAGGACATTACATTCTCATTGGCTACAGGCAAATGGCTTCAAAGTCGCATCAAGTCATATCAAAAGTAGTAATGAAGTCGTCAGCAAATTACCAGGCAAAGTTGCACCGTGACTCATACAACTTTCAGGTCACAGTAGAGTGAACCAAGCCTTACACTACTCATCATACAGTTGTATTTTTTACAGTTGTATTTTTCTTTCTTCAATGGAGTACCTAGGTTTTAATTACATTTAATATATTTATATTACAGAAAATATAGATCTTCACCTAAAATTCTCATGTACCAGTTCAATTCTGCCGCAACTGCAGGATCATTTAGTTTTAGACTGTAGGGTTCAATATTGAGTTGGCCCACCCTTTGCAGCTATAACAGCTTCAACTCTTCTGGGAAAGCTGTCCAAAAGGTTTAGGAGTGTGGCCATGGGAATGTTTGACCATTCTTCCAGAAGTGCAGTTGTGAGGTCAGGCACTGATGTCGAATGAAAAGGCCTGGCTTGCTGTCCCAAAGGTGTTCTGTTGAGTTGAGGTCGGGACTCTGTGCAGGCCAGTCAAGTTCCTCTACCCCAAACTCGCTCATCCATGTCTTTATAGACCTTGCTTTGTGCAATGGTGCGCAAAAATGTTCCCACAAAGATGGGAGCATGAAATTGTCCAAAATGTCTTACCAAAAAAGGTATGCTGATGCCCTAAGAGTTTCCTTCACTGAAACTAAGGGGCCAAGCCTAACCCCTGAAAAACAGCCCCACACCATAATCCCCTTCCACCAAACTGTACACTCGGCACAATGCAGTCAAGTAAGTACCATTCTCCTAGCAACCGCCAAACCCAGGCACGAATCATCAGATTTCCAGACAGAGAAGTGTGAATCGTCACTCCAGAGAACACTTCTCCACTGCTCTAGAGTCCGGTGGCGACGTGCTTTACACTACTGCATCCGATGCTTTGCATTGCACCTGGTGATGTAAGGCTTGTATGTTACCTGCTCAGCCATGGAAACCCATTCCATGAAGCTCTCTATGCACTGTTGTTGTGCTAATCTGAAGACCACACAAAGTTTGGAGGTCTTAGCTATTGACTCTGAAGACAGTTGGCAACTTCTGCGCAATGTGCGCTTCAGCATGTGCTGACCCCGCTCTGTTATTTTATGTGGCTGAGTTGCTTTTGTTCCCAGTTGCTTCACATTGTTATAATACCACTAACAGTTGATTGTGGAATATTTAGTAGGCACAGGTGGCAAGCTATCACGGTACCTGGTACCATGCTTGAATTCACTGAGCTCCTGAGAGCGACCCATTCTTTCACAAATGTTTGTAAAAGTATCTTCATGCCTAGGTGCTTGATTTTATAGACCTATGGCCAATGAGGTGATTGGAACACCTGAATCTAATGATCTGGAGGGGTGTTCAATATTTTGGCAATATAAATGTATATACACAGTGCATTCAGAAAGTATTCAAGCCCCCTTCACTTTTTTTACCACTTTTGGTATGCTGCAGCCTGATACTGCAGTTGTTTTAATTCATTATTTTCTCAATAATCTACAGTCAATACCCCATAATGACAAAACAAAAACAGAATTTTGGAAATGTCTGTGAATTTATTCAAAATAAAAAACTGAAATATCACATTAACATATGTATTCAGACCCTTTGCAACAACACTTGGAATTTAGTTCAGGTGCCTCCCACTTCCTTGATCATTGCTGAGATGTTTCTACACCTTGACTGGAGTCCACCTGTGGTAAATTAAATTAACTAGACATGGTATGGAAAGGCACACACCTCTTTATAAAAGGCCTCACAGCTGGCAATGCATACTGTATCAGAACAAAAGCCATGAGGTTAAAGGAACTGTCCGCAGAGTTCAGAGATAGGATTACTGCAGGACACAGATCTGGGGAAGGCTACAAAATGCTGCTACACTGAAGGTCCCCAAGAGCACAGTAGCCTACATAATTATCAAATGGAAAAGGTTTACCACAACCATTCCTCTTCCAAGAGCTGGTCGCCAAGTGAAACTGAGCAATGTGGGAGAAGGGCATTAGAAAGGTGACCAAGAACCGTATGGTCACTATGACTCAGCTCCAGAGATCCTGTATGGGGATGGGACAAAGTTCCAGAAGGACAACCATCACTGCAGCCTTCCACCATCTGGGCTTTATGGCAGAGTGGCTTAGACGGAAACCTCTCCTCAGTACAAAACATATGAAAGCCCGCTTTCATACGAAAGCTTTTTTTTTTTGAGGAACCCTTTCAGAGACACTGTTACTTTTCTGGCATGGTGGCATTGTCTCTTTAAGTCCAATATTGCCTTATTTCAGGTACCTAGTTGTACATCCACCCATAGTCTATTCACACTTGTGAATCTGAAACTATATTTCTTTTTATTTGCTGTTAACATGTTGAAGCATTTTCTCACACTTTGTACCTATTAGCAAAGGTGAATTACTCTAGGAAAGAACTGAGGTGTGAATGGAGCCTGAGTTTCTTCTAGGTGTCAATGTACCATTAAAAAAACCTTGCTTTTGTGTTTTAGTGATTCCATCTTATTCCTTCTTTGTGCAAAGTCAGCCACATCAGTACATTTACACATTTTCAGGACAAGAGAAGTTCCAGAATCTTTTTTGAGACTGTTGTTTATTCTATACTGCTGGGTCAGTATTACTGTTTATTTATCTCCACTGAGAAACATACTACAGTCTATCACCACAATAAACATACACTATTAATCAGTAAAGTATATTAGCTCAGCTGGCAGCTGCACTGGTGATTAACAAAATAAAAAAAAATCATGAGATCAGATACACATATGTGAAGTTTACAGATACTTTTGACACGTGTTTCACCATTTATTTAGTGGTGCAATAAAATATATTTGAAGTTGTATACCAAATAATTTTCTTAGTTCTAGTTCAACAATATCTGCTTCTACTATACAGTATATAGTAAATATGCTTGTCTCTAACATTATTTTGTTACAGTTGCCTACATTCAACATTTTGTCAGCTAGCTTTGGGAATTTTACTTTTTTTGTTTACTGTGCTAAAAGCATTGCTTAAAACCAAACTCTAGCCAGTCTTGTAATCCGTCCACCACTGTCAGACAGAATTGGACAATAGGCTTTATAAATCTGTATGCAGTAAACTGCAAAACAATTGGTTACTTTTTTTTCATGGGTGTTTGAATAAGCCTAAAAACAAAATCCCATTAAAATATTTAACTGCACTTTATTAATAATGTAATAATCCAAATGGCAAAATCCTAACTCAAAAATCATTTGAAAATCTCAACCTGTTGTACCTGCCCTGTGCATTATACAAAAAACCTTTACCTGTTAAAAAAATGCATCCTCAAATGAACGTGTTATTAGAGTGATTTATTTATTTATTACAGGTACCCATAAAGAGCCAACAATTTACACAGCTCTTTACATATATATTGAACATTTAAATCAGCCCCTGCCCCCAAGGAGCTTACAATGGAAGGTCCCTAACATAACATATACACATATTAGGGACAATTTAGACAGGAGCCAATTAACCTATCAGCATGGCTTTGTGGTGTGGGAGGAAGCCGGAGTACCCGTAGGAAACCCACGCAGGCACAGCGAGAACATGCAAACTCCAAGCAGGTTGTGCTGTAGTGATGTATTGTTTTATTGAGTTAATTGTTTGTGAAATGTTGTTATGGGATTTTATGGGATTTTGTTTTTGTTGGTTTATATATGGTGCCTCTGGCCGTTACACCATGGTGGTGCAAGTCAAATGACTTAGGAGTTGTTTGAATAAAACCCATTTATGAATTCAAAACAGTGCGTTTACATTGTCTGCCAAGCATTATCCTGTGGGGGTTCTAGTCTGCAGCAAAGTTTTCTGACCAGAGAAGACTAGCAAATGCCTCTGCTCTCCCATGATTGCTTTTGTAAGAGGTATTAAGATCGAAAATTGAGAATCCTTTAAAAAAATAATTAGGGAAAAAAAACCTCGCCATCTTCCTTTTGCAATCTTGCATAAAAACCTGAAATTCAGATTTGCGATCTGTTTATTATGGGGAAGACAAAGCTATGAGCAGATATGAGTTTTCCAAAACAGAAATATAATTGGGGAATATACATTCTAGGAAAATATATGTACTGCTTCCTTTCTTGGTGGACTTCAGTGCAGAATTGTAACAAATGTTAGATTATTGTTAGTCTGCCTTTATGTTTGCTTTAGCGAATGCACTGTATTCATGAGAGGTTATAGTAGATTTAACAGGACAATGTAAGTGATTGATGTAGCATCTGCTTTAGTGTATGTTCTCCAGAATGCTTTGAGATATGAAACCGTAATGCCAGCTATGCAAAGCCTCTAATTAGACCATCTTACTCACATGGCTTGCATAGAGAGAACAAGAAAGAAATGATGCATGTGATAGGGAGGTGCACATTAAACACATGCTATAACATTATAATAAGGATGAGTATTTTTGCCATGTATGTTTAAAAGCTTCATTTAGAAAAATGTTTTTTCTTCAGCTCTCTTTTTTTTTTAATTGTTTGCTTTACAGGTATTCAGACTGGGTGCCAGAAGCAATCAGTAGGTTGGGTATAGCGAAGTTGCTGCTGGAGTTTTTAGTAAATTTAAACACAAGAACAAAAAAATGTCTGGCCCTTAGATCAGTGTTTCTCAACCTTTTTTCAGGCAAGGCACCCTTTAAAATTCTGCACAATCTTGAAGCACCCTTTAAAATTCTGCACAATCTTGAGGTACCCTTTACAAAAAAATAAATTACCTCTGACTTTGTGTGTCCCACATGTGCAATGTTGCTGCGTGCTGTAAAAAACAATTAGTTTAGTTTTTTTTTACAGCACGCAGCAACATCTGCACATGTGGGACACACAAAGTCAGAGGTAATTTATTCTTTCAAAGCAAATACACCTTGGCACACTGGTACAGACTAGCATTCCATTGTTTCTCTTCTCCCTCAGTTTCTCTCGCTCAACTAATCTGACCCAGCCTTGACGGAGGGGGGCAGGGGAGGGGCAAGCAATGATGCTGTGCAGGGCCCCGATTTCCTTCTTATCATCTGATGACATCATTGCTGGCTTGTATACAGTTTTGGGGAAATTTCTAGGCATTTTGCCAAGGCACCCCTCAAGCAACCTTAAGGCACCCCAGGGTGTCTGGGCACCCTGGTTGAAAAAGGCTGCCTTAGATGTGGCCTCTGCCTTAAGATGGTTCTAAAGGCTTAAGGTTTTTTACCTTCATTCTACGCATGAAGGTAAAAAATCTTCTGTGTGCAGCAGCCCCCCCCCTAAAACTCACCTAAGCCCTCTTTCGATCCAATGATGTGCACTGGAGTTTTGGCTATCTTGGTACTCCCTTTTCTCATTGGCTCCCACTTCTGTCAATCACAGCCAGTGAGCCAATGAGAAGAGAGAAGGGGCGGGGCCAAGCAGTGGCTCTGTATGTGAATGGGCACACGGTGCAGCGGGTACCCCCATAGCAAGCTGCCTGCTGTGGGGGCACCTGACAGGAAGGAGGGGCCAGGAGAGCCTGCAGGGGACCCAAGGAGAGGAGGATGCAGGCTTCTCTGTGCAAAACCACTGCACACAGCAGCAGGTAAATATAGCATGTTTGTTATTTTTTCTTTAAAAAAAACAAGCCCGTAGAATCACTTTCATTTGAATTTTTTAAGCTAAGTACATTTTATGCGAATACAAAAAAATTCATGTTGATACTATTAGAAATCCAGTGTCATTGTAAATTCCCATGCACTAATCTTAAATCTAAAGCAGTGTTGTCTGTCTTCCAAGCTATCTTCCGTGAAGTACGAAACACCTCTCCCTATGTAATAGTGATAAGAAGATGCTGAGGTGTTTATACTCCAAATCAGGAGATCAGTCTAGAGCAGTGGTGGGCAACCTTTTTTTTCAACTGAGCCAAATCTCGCCAAAACCATGATTGAAATTTATTTTGAGAGCCACATTTTTAAAACTGAAAATACATCTCCCATATAGTAATTCATCCCCCATAGTAATTCATCCCCCATATAGTAATTCATCCCCCATAGTGTAATTCATCCCCCATAGTGTAATTCATCCCCCATAGTAATTCATCCCCCATAGTAATTCATCCCCCATATAGTAATTCATCCCCCATAGTAATTCATCCCCCATATAGTAATTCATCCCCCATAGCAATTCATCCCCCGTATAGTATTTCATCCCTCGTATAGTATTTCATCCCCCGTATAGTATTTCATCCCCCATATAGTATTTCATCCCCCATATAGTATTTCATCCCTCATATAGTATTTCATCCCTCATATAGTATTTCATCCCCCATATAGTAATTCATCCCTCATATAGTATTTCATCCCCTCATATAGTATTTCATCCCCCATATAGTATTTCATCCCTCATATAGTATTTCATCCCCCCATATAGTATTTCATCCCTCATATAGTATTTCATCCCCCCATATAGTATTTCATCCCTCATATAGTAATTCATCCCTCATATAGTATTTCATCCCTCATATAGTAATTCATCCCTCATATAGTATTTCATCCCCCCATATAGTATTTCATCCCCCCATATAGTATTTCATCCCTCATATAGTAATTCATCCCTCATATAGTATTTTCATCCCCCCATATAGTATTTCATCCCCCCATATAGTATTTCATCCCCCCATATAGTATTTCATCCCTCATATAGTAATTCATCCCTCATATAGTATTTCATCCCTCATATAGTATTTCATCCCCCATATAGTATTTCATCCCCCCATATAGTATTTCATCCCCCCATATAGTATTTCATCCCTCATATAGTAATTCATCCCTCATATAGTATTTCATCCCTCATATAGTATTTCATCCCCCCATATAGTATTTCATCCCTCATAAAGTAATTCATCCCTCATATAGTAATTCATCCCCCATATAGTATTTCATCCCTCATATAGTATTTCATCCCCCCATATAGTATTTCATCCCTCATATAGTAATTCATCCCTCATATAGTAATTCATCCCTCATATAGTATTTCATCCCCCCATATAGTATTTCATCCCTCATATAGTAATTCATCCCTCATATAGTAATTCATCCCTCATATAGTATTTCATCCCTCATATAGTATTTCATCCCCCCATATAGTATTTCATCCCTCATAAAGTAATTCATCCCTCATATAGTATTTCATCCCCCACAGTACTATTCCCCCCCCCCCCTTCTAGTAAGCCAAGTCCCCCGTGTCAATTCACTTACCTTTTGAGCCACATCCGCAGGCCGGATTAAAAGGTCCGCGCGGACTTTTGGGGCTGCCAACCGAGAGGAGGCAGGGGAGCGGCCGACCGAGAGGAGGGAGGGGAGCAGGCGCCCGGCACACAGAAGAGCCGCATTAGACTGGGTAAAGAGCCGCATGTGGCTCGCGAGCCGCGGCTTGCCGACCACTGGTCTAGAGTGACAACACTGATACTCCATAGATACAGTACAGTGGGTGAGCTTTGTCACCCTGGGACAGAAAGAGTGTTACTGGCAGGATCACCAGATGAAAACAAAGAAAAAAGAGCCAGGGAAAAAGAAAAGTAATGCAACAGTCACATAGAAGGACTAATAAACTGCAGTATATCACATTTTTGTGTTTAGATATCCTTTTTTTTCCTGTGAATGTGTTATTGTTGAGTTTTAACACATTTTTTATATATTACTGCACAACATAATTTTATTATCCTTTTTGGCACATACTGTATATGGAAAATATGTTTCCAGGGCCTAGATAACAGTATAAACTACATTCCATGCCATAGTAAAGAACATCACTGAAGACAAAGAAAGATCATGAAGACCTTTAACAAACTCAACCCCCGAACATGTCCTCTTTCCGAACATGAAGATCCAGCTCAAAGGTTGCTGTTTTGACAACATTGTGGAACTCCAGCTAGCCCAGTTTTACGCAGAATTTCACATTTGCTCTTTGTTCTAACTTGTTGTCTGTCCACGATGAAATAGCAGACATGGTAACGCACATGGCCAGAATAGCAGCAGTTGCACAGCTCCCAATGTTCACAGGAAGATGTCTTTTGGCACACTGATTTATGAAGGTCGGCGTTCCCTGTGACTGCACGCTGTGTGGTGTGTTACAAAACTAGTCTCAAAACTTTTTGATACTGCTATGTTGCCAGAAGTATTGGGACACCCCTCCAAATCAATGGATTCCAGTGTATAAAGTCAAGCACCTAGGCATGCAGACTGCTTCTAAAAACATTTGTGAAAGAATGGGTCTCTGTCAGGAGCTCAGTGAATTCAAGCGTGGTACCGTGATAGGTTGCCACCTATGCAATAAGTCCATCTGGGAAATTTCCTTGCTACGAAATATTCCACGGCCAACTGTTAGGGGTATTATAACAAAGTGGAAGCAACTGGGAACAACAGCAACTCAGCCACGAATTGGTAGGCCACGTAAAGTTACAGAGCGGGGTCAGCGCATGCTGAAGCACACAGTGCGCAGAAGTCGCCAAATGTCTGCAGAGTCAATAGCTTCATGTGGTCTTAAGATTAGCACAACAACACTGTGTAGAGAGCTTCATGGGATGGGTTTCCATGGCCAAGCAGCTGCATCCAAACATTATATCATCATATGCAATGCAAAACGTCAGATGCAGTAGTGTAAAGTACTCCACCACTGGACTCTAGAGCAGTGGAGACGTGTTCTCTGGAGTGACAAATCACGCTTCTCTGTCTGGCAATTCGATGGATGTGTCTGGATTTGGCGGTTCCCAATAGATCGGTACTTGCCTGACTGCATTGTGTCAAGGGAGAGTTTGGTGGAGGGAGGATTATGGTGTGGGCTTGTTTTTCAGGGTTTGGGGTTGGCCCCTTAGTTCCAGTGAAGGGAACTTTAAGACATCAGCATACCAAGACATTTTGGACAATTTCATGCTCTGAACTTTGTGGGAACTGTTTAGGGATGGCCCCTCCTGTTCCAGCAATACTGCACACCAGTGCACAAAGCAAGGTCTTTAAAGACATGGATGAGCGAGTTTGGGGTGGAGGAACTTGACTAGCCTGCACAGACATGGTAACGCACATGGCCAGCACCAGAGTCCTGACCTCGACCCAATAGAACACCTTTGGGATGAATTACAGTGGAGACTGTGAGCCAGGCCTTCTCCAACATCAGTGCCTGATCTTACAAATGCGCTTCTGGAAGAATGGTCAGACATTCCCATAGACACACTCCTAAACCTTGTGGACAGCCTTTCCAGAAGAGTTGAAGCTGTTATAGCTGCAAAGGGTGGACCAACTCAATATTGAACGCTATGGACTAAGACTGAAATGCCATTAAAGTTCATGTGCGTATAAAGGCAGGCGTCCCAATACTTTTGGCAATATAGTGTGTGTGTATATATACACATACTGTTTGCAAGCCATTTTACAATTCAAGGAACCAACATTGTTTGAATGAAAATTGCAAGTGCACCTCACTTATAAAAAAGTGAGAAGGAACACATACAATCTCAGACTTTCACAAGATCACTAGTGTTAGTGAGAGCATGTCTACAGACAGGTGGAACAAATTATTAATTAGGTATCAATTCTATATTTTGCATATACAGTCAGGTCCATAAATATTGGGACATCGATACAATTCTAACATTTTTGGCTCTATACACCACCACAATGGATTTGAAATGAAATGAACAAGACGAGCTTTAACTGCAGACTGTCAGCTTTAATTTGAGGGTATTTACGTCCAAATCAGGTGAACGGTGTAGGAATTACAACAGTTTGCATATGTGCCTCCCACTTGTTAAGGGACCAAAAGTAATGGGACAGAATGATAATCATAAATCAAACTTTCACTTTTTAATACTTGGTTGCAAATCCTTTGCAGTCAATTACAGCCTGATGTCTGGATTGCATAGACATCACCAGACGCTGGGTTTCATCCCTGGTGATGCTCTGCCAGGCCTCTACTGCAACTGTCTTCAGTTCCTGCTTGTTCTTGGGGCATTTTCCCTTCAGTTTTGTGTCTTCAGCAAGTGAAATGCATGCTCAATCAGATTCAGGTCAGGTGATTGACTTGGCCATTGCATAACATTCCACTTCTTTCCCTTAAAAAACTGGTTGCTTTTGTAGTATGCTTTGGGTCATTGTCCATCTGCACTGTGAAGCAGCGTCCAATGAGTTCTGAAGCATTTGGCTGAATATGAGCAGATAACATTGCCCGAAACACTTCAGAATTCATCCTGCTGCTTTTGTCAGCACTCACATCATCAATAAATACAAGAGAACCAGTTCCATTGGCAGCCATACATGCCCACGCCATGACACTACCACCACCATGCTTCACTGATGAGGTGGTATGCTTAGGATCATGAGCAGTTCCTTTCCTTCTCCATACTCTTCTCTTCCCATCACTCTGGTACAAGTTGATCTTGGTCTCATCTGTCCATAGGATGTTGTTCCAGAACTGTGAAGGATTTTTTAGATGTCGTTTGGCAAACTCTAATCTGGCCTTCTTGTTTTTAAGGCTCACCAATGGTTTCCATCTTGTGGGGAACCCTCTGTATTCACTCTGGTGAAGTCTTCGCTTGATTGTTGACTTTGACAGACATACACCTACCTCCTGAAGAGTGTTCTTGATCTGGCCAACTGTTGTGAAGGTTGTTTTCTTCACCAGGGAAATAATTTTTCGGTCATCCACCACAGTTGTTTTCTGTGGTCTTCCAGGTCTTTTGGTGTTGCTGAGCTCGTCAGTGCGTTCCTTCTTTTTAAGAATGTTCCAAACAGTTGTTTTGGCCAAGCCTAATGTTTTTGCTATCTCTCTGATGGGTTTGTTTTGTTTTTTCAGCCTAATGATGGCTTGCTTCACTGACAGTGACAGCTCTTTGGATCTCATCTTGAGAGTTGACAGCAACAGATTCCAAATGCAAATCGCACACTTGAAATGAACTCTGGACCTTTTATCTGCTCATTGTAATTGGGATAATGAGGGAATAACACACACCTGGCCATGGAACAGCTGAGAAGCCAATTGTCCCATTACTTTTGGTCCCTTAACAAGTGGGAGGCACATATGCAAACTGTTGTAATTCCTACACCGTTCACCTGATTTGGATGTAAATACCCTCAAATTAAAGCTGACAGTCTGCAGTTAAAGCACATCTTGTTCGTTTCATTTCGAATCAATTGTGGTGTATAGAGCCAAAAATGTTAGAATTGTGTCGATGTCCCAATATTTATGGACCTGACTGTAAATGTTTATTAGAAGACACTTTGCAAAATGATCAGTTTATGAACGTAATAAGATGGTACTTACATGTGCAAATCTCATCAAACTTCATTTACTGGCATATTATTTTGTAATTGACAGTGGTAATGTTTTTCTAGAGCCAGATTTCTAGAATATCAATATAGGTACTTTCCTAGGACTTCAAGGTTCTCAGCAACCAGGATCAATAACAAGGTGTAAACATACTTTGCCATAGTAGTGGTAGATCAGACAAGTGAGCACTGTTATCTTTACATCATGCAAATGTTCTACATTACTGTATGTTGCATTTACTTTCCTAATACCAGCTTCTCAGCTTTTTTCTTTGTGAGTGTGTGTCACGAGACAGGTGCAATTAAATTCAAGAAGGCAGATTCTGCGCAAGAATTAGCCAATGTTCACAGCACATTGCTATTATTCTGCTCAGCAGAGAAGAGTAAAGCTGGCAATACATTATACAATTTTGTTGTTTAATTTCCTTTAGATTTACCTTCAACTATTTATTGCAAGGGCCTGCCTAATTGCATACAAATTGAAAGTGTTTTAGGTCTGACCTCATTATATGGTTTTGGTAAATCCAAAGGAAAATTGTACAAGAAATTGTATAATATGGCCAGTCTTACTAAAACTGGGGCACACAGAATATGCTGCAGCTGCGCATAGTAACCAGTCAGCTTCCAGGTTTTATTGTCAAAGCCTAAGGGCCCTGTGCTTCTCACAGACAAGAGCAGGTTCACCCTTAGCACATGTGACAGACGTAAAAGGGTCTGGAAAAGCCGTGGAGAACATTATGATACCTGTAACATCATTCAGCTTGACTGTTCTAGTGGTGGGTCAGTGATGATGTGGGGAGGCATTTCCATGGAGGGACGCACAGACATCTACAGGCTACACAGGCTCACGCTGGCTGCCATTATCGGTATCGGGATGAAATCCTTGGACCCATTGTCAGACCTCACGCTGGTGCAGTGTGCCCTGGGCTCCTCCTGGTTCATGACAATGCCCGGCCCCATGTGACGAAAGTATGCAGGCAATTCCTGGAGGCTGAAGGAATTGATACCATTGAATGGCCCCCCGCGCTCTCTTGACCTAAATCCAACAGAACGCCTCTGGGATATTATGTTTCGGTCTATCCGACGCCTCCAGGTTGCACCTCAGACTGTCTAGTAGCTTAGTGATGCCCTGGTCCAGATCTGGGAGGAAATACCCCGGGACACCATTCGTCGTCTCATTAGGAGCATGCCCCGACATTGTCAGCCATGCATACAAGCATTTTGGGGGCCATACAAACTACTGAGTACCATTTTGAGTTCATTGACTTAAACCCAAAAACCCACAATTATAGTGAAAAGATCAAAACCCAAAGAGATTACCCAAAAAATAAAAAATATCAAATATATATAAAAGAACAAAAATAAATAAAGTCCCAATATGCAAAGTGTCCAAGTAATGTGTCCAAACAAAGATCAATTTCTTGATAGGAAGACGCTTCCTACTCCACTGAAGAAGATGCAAATCAATCACAGGTGCTCTTCAAATACCTCAAAAAACAAAATCTCAACATAGTATATTACCTTTTAAATCCCAGAACTAAAGTGCCACACGTGTATCATGCAAAAAAAAACACTCCAGTGTCACAGCACTCATGTGAGAGAAAAAAAAAAAAAAATTTTAAATTTTAAATATCACTGCAAACTATATATAAAGTGCATAATTACCCTAAAGCAAACAAATTCCAGTTTGTAATCAACCACATTTGTACAGAGTGTCCTTAGATTGGTATCCTCTTGTTCCTCAGGACCTCACAAACAGACCAGGAATCAGTATGTGAATTATAATCATATATAAAATTTATTGTAGCCACTTACATATAAAAACGATAAAATCAGCAAGACAGCATCCAACTCCTCATGCCCAGTATGCGATCCCCTTTCCGTGTGTAGAGGGTCTCCCGATCACCAGGTAATTCCCCCTTGCTACTCCTATCCAGCACTATCACTTTGTAGCTCTGGGGGACACCTGAAGTGCACCGTTACTCTCCAGACCTCCAACACACAGGGATTCCAGAATCCAAAATGGCTGCCGCAGCACTTCCGGGAACGTCACGTGCCCTGGGCGCGTTTCGTCTCTTCTGGACTTTGTCAACAAGGATCAAGAGGATACCAATCTAAGGACACTCTGTACATATGTGGTTGATTACAAACTGGAATTTGTTTGTTTTAGGGTAATTATGCACTTTTATATATAGTTTGCAGTGATATTTAAAATTTAAATTTTTTTTTTTTTTTTTTTTTTTTTTTTTTCTCTCACATGAGTGCTGTGACACTGGAGTGTTTTTTTTTTGCATGATACACGTGTGGCACTTTAGTTCTGGGATTTAAAAGGTAATATATTTTGTTTTTTGAGGTATTTGAAGAGCACCTGTGATTGATTTGCATCTTCTTCAGTGGAGTAGGAAGCGTCTTCCTATCAAGAAATTGTTCTTTGTTTGGACACATTACTTGGACACTTTGCATATTGGGACTTTATTTATTTTTGTTTTATTTATATATATTTGATATTTTTTATTTTTTGGGTAATCTCTTTGGGTTTTGATTTTTTCACTATAATTGTGGGTTTTTGGGTTTAAGTCAATGAATATATATTTTATTAGTACTTCAGGGGAAGGATATTGATATGACTTTAAGGGATTGTTGAGGATTTTATATATATATGTGTGCTGATTTATACTTATACCATTTTGAGTTGCTGCAATTAAATTTCAGCAAAATGGACTAGCCTGCTGCATAATTTTTTCACTTTGATTTTCGGGGTATCTTTGAATTCAGTCCTCTGTAGGTTGATAATTTTTATTTACATCAAACGATGGGACATCCTTACATTCTTAACACACTACCCAGTCCATATCAGTATAGATATCCAGCATGATATTTTTTCCCCATTGAGATCTGATGTGTTTTCAGAGTGTTCCTTTAATTTTTTTGAGCTGTGTGTGTATATATATATATATATATATAATGTATATTTATCCTAGGAGGTTTAACATGTCCTGCTTAGCCTTATGGACCTTGTAATATAGGCACGTTAGGAGTCTGAACTGAAAAGTGTTCTACATTAGTGTAACCACTTTTT